AAATGTTCTCGCTGGAAAGAAGTACATAGGAAAATCGCAGGCGAGCGAGGCTCCAGGGCTGCGATTTGTTGCGATGTATCATGCTTTACGTTTCGTAACAATGATATAATAACGGGGCGAATGCAAGCATTAAACAACGACAACATGTTATATGTAGTTTCTCGAAACGCCTGCTGTGACGTTTTCGTGTAAACGCTGCCGATTTATCTAAGAACGACTTTAATTGTGCCAACATTCCGTCAGCAGCGACGGAAGCGTGCTATTATCCGATAGCGATGTAATAAAGAATTTTTTAAATTTTTTGTAACGTTTTTGCGATCGTCATATTTAATGACCGCGCGATTACGTATACAGCGACAACGTAATTCGCACGTGTGTCGTAACAGGTTTATCGTACTCGAATCCGAATTCGCGTATACATACATGCTAAAAATTTATGACGATTCGGCTTATCAACCCACACAATCATCAAGTGATTTTTAATTGAGATCTATAACCCGAGCGGTCTGAAAGAAAAAAAGTAAAGCGCAATAAAAACTAATACGTACATCGTTGGATTTGCATATGCAACTTTGCAACAGTTGTGTCTTGACAATCCAGTTCATCAAGAATTTTACTTTTAGTTACACAGGTGACACTTGTCAGAAATGAAAATTACGGGAAAATAATAATTATATTGCAAGCAATGTAAATGCACATAACAATTAAATAATTAAAACGCAAGCTTCTCGATAAAAAAATACGTGTCGAAAATAAAGTTAATCAACTATAATATAACGAAATTACTATTAAATTAATTAATTTAGTAATTAATATAATTTAATATTTAATATATAATTTAATTAATTTAATAACAATTAAATTATATTATAGTCAATAAATTTCACTTTCGACATGTGTTTTTTTAATGAGGAAACTTGCGTTTTTATTTGACGTTGGATTTATGTTTGCTTCTCTTTGTGTCGTTAAATCTCAACTAACTTTCAAACGACAAAATCAATCAATCACTTCGCAAATGTGACGACGAATTGCGAGAATTGAAAAGTGCGGCTGTGCAACCAAACTTTGCGCTGCGAAAACTTTCGCCGGGCTTAATCCAGTCGAACATCTAGTAGAGTCATTAAACTTAGTTGAACGCCGATTTGTTAGAAAAGATGAGGCGGAAAGATCGCGCGTTGAAGACTGAAGAATTGGAAAGTGCGAGCGTTATATCACGAAACGCATCAGTATGCAATTTGCATAATGGGTTTGTTTTTTTTTTAAGAATGCAATTTTTTTAATCATCCGCGTACGGCACGTGTATTATTCCCGCTTTGACAGAACCGTCAAAGTCAAACGAATCAAAGCGTTAAAACGAGAAAAACAACAATTTCTCACGCAACATCGTCGTAACGGCGTCGCGGCTTAATCGCAAAAACGATTGAGCAGACTTCGACATACAACGATTTGCGGTGACGAAAGTATCGACAATGTTGAATTTGCACGATGCTAGTTACATTCGGATTGATAGTCAAAGTTATTCAAATAAACGAACATGACGCACGAGTCACGATGAATGAATGATGCATCATTCATCATTCGCATTATTTCCGGATTACGCGTTAATTAACAAACTATCTGTTTTACGTCAAACGAAATACGTACAAAACAGCGTCACGATGTCGCGATCGACGTAGGTAAACTACACAGGTAATAAATTACGCGACAGAGTTTGAGTTGAGAAGATTTAAAGAAGATTTGCACGCCGAGAGTATCGCTGGGTCAAAAAACTTCAGTTAATATATGTATCTTATTTGAATCGGATGGCAATTAAAACATAAGCACATCGCGTCGTAAAAGTCATGAATGAGTGATACATTACTCGATTCATTCTTAAAGTAAGGTAATTAATTAAAAATGATAATAATCCGCATCAAACGAAAGCGGAAAAGCGTATGAAACAGTGTCACGGCGTTACACTCGGCAGCGCGACAAATTATACACGAATAATAAATTATTCAAATGTCAGCCTAATTGAGTGTTGTATGACTTATTATGAAGATTTAAAGATTTCAGCGCGGATTTTCGTAACGAAATGCAGGCGAACGACGATATGACTGAATTTGCGCCGATTTCGTTGCTGTTTGTACGTTCGACGGCGGTACGAGCGAGCTCGAGCATTGTATACGATGTATACGGGATATGCATTATGCAAGGTTCGTAAGACGGCCTTGACAATGACCATTGCCGCTATGCGTTACGTTATCGACGATCGTGACGTTAACGCGCCGACAGAATAATCACGAAGGATCGTAAGAAGTACGACGCATTTTTTTTTACAAAAAAGAACGAAGAAGTATCAAATGTCTTTTTTCTTATCGCTTTCCGCAATATCTATGATAATATATAATGACAGTGACATGATTTATTAACATTAATAATGCAGTTAAAAGTTATTTTCTTCAATTTTTCACTGTTTATAACTTCCAATCGTTTAGATATTAATTTATACTGCTATTATAAGATATTAAATTAAAATACTTCTCGTATAAGATTTGCTTGAAATCTCAATTGAATTCAATCAATTAAAGAAAAATTGATTAATTATTCATACGTGGAGAAAAATTTGCCGACATAACACGTTTCATAGCAAAATAGTTTACTTATTATATGACAGAAAGATTTGACGCGGATGCTAATTTTATTTGCCAAAAATAATTTTGATTACAATCGCTTTTGAATCAACGGAGATTCGGCATTTTTGTGACGAATCTTACATTCGCCTTTGGCGTTATGCTGTCGCGAAAATGTTTTTGATATAACAGATAAGATTCTAATTTATAAGCGCATAATTCTGAAATGGGACACTTGCAATGCGATTTGCATCCCGTTACAGAAGAGCGCGTTACACATGCATAATCGTATTGACGCAACGTGTTGTTACACGATATGTTACGATCGTGCCTGTTAAAGCCGAGAGGGATTTACGACAAGGTTGTGCGATGCAGGACGATGTCGTAAAAATGTTGCAGGGAATAAAAGGAAGCGGAAATGTCCCATATATGAGACAACTGACATGACAGCAGTCAGGATAGAGAGAGAGAGAGAAAAAGAGGGAAAAAATCAGTTGCAACACAGTCACGTTGAAAAAGTCGTTGACCCTCCCGACTCTGTGGCCAAGGTTCGTCGATTAATCGATACAAGCTTGCCACGAAAATGATCGGAAGAAACTGTTATCGGGATAATCGTCGGAACGCATTTCTGACGGCGCATTTTATTCAATGTCGCGTTCTTGCCTTTCTGATATGTCGAAAAGCTTCATTTATATTTCGGGCAAAGGCAGGGATGAAAGACAATTTAATTTCGCTGGCTCTACTCTTGAAATCAAAAATATCTCTTTCACCGATCGCCGCGAATGAATACGGAAACTACTTTCACGCGCCAATGGCATTGATTTCGAAATAAATTAACACCGGAATCACATCCTGATTTCGATTGAAACAAATATCGATATGCGGTTTGATCATTGTTCTTGCTACGTACTGGATCCCAAAGGAAATCATTAATAATCGCGGTTAACCATAAATTGCTGTCCCAGAAACCGCGCCATTATAGTAAGTAATTAGCATGTTTTCTATATATTCGCACAGATGCTCCTTAAGAAGTGACTCCGCTGTAGTGTTTATTTAACATTTTATTCATGCATGTTAAATAAAATGTTAAGTAAACATTGCGGGTGACAAATAATCAAATTATATATAAAGAAAAAAAATCAATTTTTGTACAATCTGCAAATTTAACGATGTTTGATGCATAATACTTTTTTAGAGACAAACATTTAAATTATTCTGATAAAAATTAATAATATATAAGGCTCAACTGATTACAAAAATCAATTAAAATCAATATATATATTGATATATTGATATATCAATATATATATATTTACATCAAATCAATGATTTGATGTAAACAATTTTAACGAATATATCTTAACCTTCGCACAAAGAACTAGCATTGTGGCTCTTTACGCTCTTATTGATTTTAATATTCTGATAAAATTATGCAATACATTGAAATTATAAAATAATATATTATATAAATATATGCAAAATATGTAATATTTTTACACGAAAATAGACTCCTACTTTTGTTTTTTAAAAAAGCAGGTGTAACATAAACATTGTTTTTTTCGCAGAAAGCAGCATTGCACAAAAATCAATAAACAAGATTATATTTCGAATTGTATCACTTTATGATAAATTTGCAGAAAAAAGTATAAACATCTAAAATTAGACACTCAAAATGCTAATTGACATGGTTGCGATCGATCAAAATTATTCAAAATTATATAAACACATAGAGTTGCATATACAGGGTGATTCAAAACAATCTACTGTTCTTGAAATGTCAAATTCTTGAGTAAATTCTAAGACGATTTTTCCTTTTACAAAATTTTGTCCGAAGCTTAGTTTTCGAGTTATAATTAAAAATAGGTAGCAACTTATGAGTTCGGTACAATGGGCAGGCAGGGACGCACAACGTATAATGAGACTGTCAAGTGTTTATTATCGTCTCAGGACACATTGCTCGTCCCTGCCTGCCCGTTGTATCAGACTCGTCAATAACCAACTATTTTCAATTATAACTCGAAAACCAAGTTTCGGACAAAATTTTGTAAAAGGAAAAATCAGAATTCGCTCAAAAATATGGCAAGGACATCAGGTTGTTTTGAATCACCTTGTATATCAGTCATTGATCAGTTATATATCTATCTAATATATATATATATATATATATATATATATATATATATTCTGATCAATACGCGTTGAGCAAATCTTATTAGCTTAGCATCAAAGATTCACCAAAAAGTCATGGATATTAATAAATTAGATTGCAATGATTATACATGGCCAAATATTACAAGTGGCAAATAATAAAATTAATAAATTGGTTAAAAACTGTTGGGATAAGTCTAACAATGTGCATGTTGCAGGGAAAACACATATTTCGCGTCATTATATTTTCCTTCAAGGAAGTTTTAGATCAACACTTTATTTTGTGTACTATATAGTAACTGTACATTGCAATATACCTAATGGCAGAGATTTAACATTGCAAGGTTTATACTCTGCAATATGAATGAATGGTATCTTAGAATATGTGATCTACATATCTATACCTGATCGAGTAGCTTCTGCAGCTCCTTCAATACGTTTCAATGAAAAACAATCGTTATAAGCAAAATGATTGATTTTATTCATCGCCCAACTCGGCCTTTTTGTCCATAGATTTTCTGTATTTATGCAGATACTTGGCGCCGTAGATTTCTCTAAAGTAAGGACTACTTCTGTAATCGCGATGTTCGCCCATCGCGGCATTCACTCTCTGCTCCAGCATTCTGACTTTCCTAACTTCATTCTCATGATATATATGATGCAGATACTTTTCATATTCCTGCTGTGGTGAGGGGAAGAAGTAACGTGCCAGGAATCTCTTAATGGGATGCTGAAACATACACAAGAGGCATTTCTCTTAAAAAAATTCGCACTTTTACAAATAACTGATATATATCTAGTATCAATTATTAAATAAATGTCTGTACAAAAATATTTCTCATGAAAAATATCAGTTTAAATATCTTACTTGATGATACTCCCATTCTTTTGGTACATAGCCCTCAGGGATTTCTTCGAGTGTTGCAGGACCGATGAACACATTGACTAGGGTGATTCCAATGCCGACAGGAATAACACCCAGTAGAAAATAAAAATGGAAATAATCCTTTGTTTTGTGCCATTGAAAGCGGGTCGGCTGTATGTTCATAACACGATCTCCTGACATACATCTTACTTGTCCTAAAATAATGGAAACATCTTAGAAAATTCTGAGATCCGTATTGTTGCTAGGAAGAATACATTAATAATGGTTCCGAAGAAAACAAAGAAGTTATGTCAGAAAAAATCTGAATCAGTTGTTGATATAAACCACAATTTCATTAATAAACTTATAGTGCAAATATAACATCTGCGTTAGTAATCAAGTAGAGTCGTTTGCAATAAATAACATAAGTAAATAAATTCATTGTTAATATTCAATATTAAGATATTAATATGTATAAATATGTTGTTGAACATTTTCGAATAGGTTAGAGAAAAAATAGCTATCCAAATTAATAATGCATAGACAAAAATTTTGACTATTTCGTTAATTATTCTACAATCGTATTTGCCGATGTATTTTATTCTATTTTTTACGGCACAAAATTATGTTCCAAAACACTGTGGCTGTTGCGTAACAAAACACTGTCCGTTCTAGGAATAGTAATATCGAAAAACTATAAGAACCATTTGTCTGATAATCTTATTATACGTAAGTGCATAGATAATCACCGTTTTTTAATAGTCCCGTGCTAAAACCACCGTTCTGCAGTAATTTTCGGCCTGCAGTACGCAAAATGTTGCTCCACACCGCCATTTTGCTCCGATACTAGCAGACAAACGCGATGTGTGAAATAAGGAAATCAAGTTGAAATGTAACGCATCTACTTACCGACCAGAGAAAAAGCAGATTGTACAACAAGTTGCATTAACACACGATTAGATGGCATTGCAGTATCTTAATATTATGATTAGATAAAATATCGACACATAGAATTTTTAATAATTTAATTATAAATGTACAAAAGTACATATTATTAATTAATATCAGCTGTGTTAAATAAAGAAAAGTATTATACATAATTTTATATATTTTAAAATTTAATATTTTATATTTTTTTCAAAAAAATATACAAATTTATGTAGTACATTTATATTTAGTAAATATATTTTATAAATTCATTTAAATCATAAAATTATGAGATATTTAAAAAGAAACATTATTGACAAAATGCATTATTTTAATAATTATTTACTTTTACAGGCAATTGTCATTATTCGTGATAATGTATTACATATCCCAAAATTCGTGTGACCAATTTTAAGAAAAAAATTTTTTCTCAAACTTTGGATGGATGATAAAGCATCGTTAGCGTTTATTGAGTCGGAAATTGTTTTGTTGCAAGCGTTTCTATGCATGTTCATATTAACGTAATTCGTAATAGACAGCGATATGAGTAGCATCAGTTAAATCGGGTTAATTGAGCAATTGAACCTGAGAAACGATTGTAAATTATATACACCCGGTAATCCTCGTGACAGATTCGAGAAAATTCTAGGTCGTACCGATCCTTATCTATTCCTTTCCCAAGCGGTTTTTTTGTATGACAAAGAGATGGTTTTGTATAAATAATTATGCAAAACCGCGATACACGCAGTGCTTGTATATAAAAAAATAAGAAATTATTCGTCCCTCTGGAGATTGATATCTTTTTTTGTGTTAATGTTTTAAACATAATATGCTTAAGGCCCACAAACTTCTGCTACGTAACGTAGCAAAAACGTCACGCGTTACGATTTTCTTTGTGCGTTGACTGAAGTTCAAATTTATATACGGGTTTAGATTCATGATCAATACTTAACGTAACGTAAAGTGTTACGGAGAAACTTGTGCGGTGGCTCTAAGTTGCGTAATTCTGAGATCGGCGATTGCGATCAAAGTGTGAAATGTCTCGTTTTAAAAAAAATAAAAATCGTGAAAATGTCTCAATATAAAAAAAAAAAAAAAATTTACAAACGTGATGCGCAGAAGTATTTCTTTATGAATAAAGCTTATACGTTAAATTTTACAGTTTGCTCAATATGTGTTACATATCGTTAAGATGTTACATCGTTCTCTCTATTTATCCTAGCACAAAGAATCTCGAAACCCGGAGTCGACAACCGTGATATCCGTCCGCTTGTGTGAAGCTGATTCACGGACGGAATTCCATACAACACGCGTGTTGTATACGCGTAAACTTTACTTTCTTTCGTTGATAACATTAGATGAAAATAATAATTGCGTAGATGATAACATAAAATGACACGCATCAAACATGACTCACTCAATTTATTATGAATCGATAATAATAACGACGTAATGTGACATATATATATTTTTAGGAAATGTATTCCTTTTTCACTCATAACTTAGAAAAACTCGAAATCTGTGAGATTATTTAATCATATTGTGAATTTCATAATTTGTTAATAAAGTCTTCTAACTTCTAATCCCACGCTTTCATTTTTTTATCTTTAAATTAAATTGATTAATGATGAATGATTTTGATAAATTGCTGTAAAAAAATTAAGAAATTTAAATTCAAACGGTTTTATATAATCCTTTTCCAAGATTTTAATTTAAGATTAAAACACAAAGATATTTATATATTACACAAAGTTGCTATTTTGCTAGATTTCAACTTGAAGTTTGGCCTGAAGAAACATCGAAATTAAGATTGAGGATATTTTGCGACATCCCGCAAATTTATTAACATAATCAATCAACAATTAAACTTTTTTATTTATTTATTTTTTACTTATCAACTACGAGTCAGCTCTCAGCAAGTGAGGATTAGCAGATCACGAGCCGCTCCCGTGTTTCTTTCTCAATTCTTCATGGCGCGTAAAAAAAAAGGAAGATAAATTTACATAGATATGAGAAAGGAATGAAAACATAAATTATGCTCATCTCAATAACATTTTTATCTTTAATTATATAATTAAATATATAAATAAATAAATTTTAAACAAACAAAAATCATCTCGATTTTCTACTTGTAGACTTTCTAATGCACATAGATCCTCTTTCTTAAAGATGTCTTTGTCCTAAATCGACGAACTTTATATTCTAAGAGCCGAAGAGGGGCAGGATCGGGATTGGATTGGTTGACGAAGGCCGTACCAACCCTTAGATCGACTACACTCACAAAGTGGTAACTGTGCGTAACGCACACGGAGACGGCGGCCGAGAACGTACGTAAAGAAACGAGGCGACGAGGTTTTCAGGCTCAGTTCAGTCGTCTACAGACTACAGCGGCGAGCGGAGAGTGAGGATCGCTTCACCAATCGATCCGATCGTACAACTCGCGTCGCGTCGCGTCGCGTCGCGTTAATCGTGTTCCTTTTTCCGAGACCAAGGCATCGAGGAAGCGAGAGCGGAGTTCCTGATCCGGGTCTTCCGATTGTTCCCGTCCAGTATCTTTCTCTTTTTTCCGTTTCTTTGCCTTTCGTAAACGTTCGGTCGGCGGTGGAGCGATTCTCGTTACAATTCGAACAGGTGAGTGCTAGATCGGTTTAAATTCATATTGTAACTCGACGAAAATCACTCGGCTCAAGGAATCTCACGTATTTTGAATGCTAAAAGCATTTCGTACTTTTTTAATTTTAATTTTGAAATTTATTTACTATTTATCGTTATCCAACGGAGAGAAAAAGAAAGGGGCTTTATTTACGCTTTTGGACGACAATAGATTTTATTCTACTGTTATCATTCGGTCAATCCGAGAAAAAATGGTATAATTGGTCAAATGTAAATATATACAGTTAGTTATGAAAAGATCTGAATTTTATATGATCATATAAAATTACATATGTTATTAGATCTTTTCATAACTAATTATATATACATATTTACATCATATTACACCATTTTTTCTTGGGAATACATTTTGGTAATACTTCTTAATATTTCCTGTATTTAGAGAAAAGAATTGCATTCAAATTTTGGAAAAAAAAAGACAAGAAACGAATAGTGCCAGGTGCAACGAAACAGAACAGACTTTAATAGAGCGCACAGTTGTGACTTTATTTACTATCCGTCCTTCCTGAAAAGCGTCGGGGCATTGATCTGCTCCGACTCGATCGATCTTTCGAAGGGCTTGTAAACAGTAGGATTATATCACTAGAGTGTGTATTATTAAATTGGTTCCTGAATTCGCGGATTCTATATCTAAAAATTCATTTTTCACTCTAAATTGTTACCGGACACTTTATGTGCTCTGTAATAATACTCGTAAAATACGCGTCGAATTAAAAAGAAGCTAGTTAGAGAAATGTTCGAGTGTTAATAGGCTGTGAAAGAGAATAAAAGTGACATACAATCAAATCTTGTGTCAAGATAGCAATATACTAAACTGCACCATATTTAAAAACACTCAAAAAAATGATCTTGCAATAATAGCTAAAATTTTCTAGGTGTAAAAAATTAACTAAAACAGATAAATGATTAGCAACTGTTGTGATATTGCATATGTAATTACTTAATCAGTTTAGATGACAGAAACAGAATATATATCTGTATTGTTTGTGAACTTTAAAAAGAAAGTTTTTCTAAAGCGCCTATCTATATAAGATCAATCACGTGTTAGATTATGCAATGAATAACAATTTAGCAATGGTACCTAAATTTTTCAGAAGCTATTGCTAGAACATTACTGCTATAAATTCTATATGTGACAAACAATGTTTTTACAGATACGAAAAATAGCGATACATTCTTGTTGCAATATTTAGAAATCTAACTACATCAGCGAAATATTTTTTTGAGTGAAACTCTTTTATAGATAATAAAATATAATGTGTTCAAATTTCCTGTTACACATAATCGATCAATCTTATCTTATCTTGCAAATTCTTGTGATATTTTCTTAATAAGTTAAAATATTCATGATAAGTATATAAATATTGTCCAACAACGTAGCAATGTGATAGATTGATAGATGCTTCGAACACATCTTCGGCGGAAGTATATTTGGAAGAAACAGGAATGTTATCAGACTAGTGCAGTTTATCGAGCCACAAAAAGAAGTTTGACCTTCGATACAAACGCTTGGAACAGGTGCAATGAGCATCAGTGATTAATGCACAAAGATTTACAAGGTTCGACAAAGTGCTAAGATATTTTTATTCAATATCAGAAGAAATGGAACTAACGTTAAGAATTTTATGCGAAGTTTAAGTGTTTGTGTTTAAACAGAGAGAGAGATATATCGAAAACTCTTCGAATTTTGATAACGTAAAAAAAGCTTTCAGGGATAAAGAAAACTATTATCCTAAGCTTTATTTTTACTATCATTTTGTCGTATCGTAGTATTAGAATATTGATCGTAATTATATTGACGCAAGTTCTATTACAATTCTTACATTTCAATCATGCCGCATTAATTTTGAGATTTGCAGCGTTTACATCTTATTGTCGACACTTGTGCAAATACATTTTTATCGCAATACAATTTTTGCAACCTTTACTCTGTGGAGTAACGATCAACCCGTCTCCCTCCCTCCCTTCTTCTCTCTCCTTCTCAATGACGCTATAAGAACTTTGTAGGATAACTTGTGAGATCGATTACACCAACATTGCTTATGTTGAGTTTATACAAAAGTAAAGAGGCAAGCAGCAACTTATCGTTTCTGTTATCTTTTGTTATAGAAGAGTTATAAACTTTACGAAAGAGTAAGTTGCTCGCTTGCTTAATTCGTCTCCCTACTGATTCGTCTCTCACTAATCACGGTTCAACTTTTCTCTTCTAAATCTTGTGATTATCGATAAGACTGTAATCTAAAAGACTTGTATAATTTCGAACTACTGATATGCAATCTTAAGTACGTAACTGATGTAATCTTAAAATATGTGATATATCCACGCTCAAGTTAATGCTATTTAATTTGTGATTAAACATACGAACATTGACCATGCAATTTCGAAATCGACAATAGAAAATTAAATATCGTTCATTTGTATCAAACAAGATTAAAAAAAAATAATTTAAATTAAAATATAAAAAATGAAATTGGAATAATAGATACGAGGTGTATTTACGTGTAGAAATTTATAGATTAAAAAAATTAATTAAACAATTTTTTCTAATAACATTTCGCTGACGATTTTCCTAAAAATTTCTCCATTCTTTGTGTATCACGTTTCGCGTGAGATACTTTAGAAGAGTCATGGCTTTCACGCGCGTTCACAATATTAGAAGGGTTCTTGAATCGCGGAGGAAAGTTGCACATTAGTGTGCATCAACACTTATCCCGAGAATTCGTAGAATTTCCTCGGGTTTTTAATAAACTGTCGTTCGTAACAAGATGAATCGCTCTCCGCGACAATTATGGTACCAAGGCGTTACGTTACAACGTGCATAAATTAGTCACGACCGTCGACCAATTCTTTCCTCTTTCGTGCAGTAGCAGGAAAAAATTCTCAACAAAGACCGGAGATGATTTTTGTTTTTCTTATGCTAAAACTTGTCACGAACAGCAATCGTTTACGCAATTCAACGCAAAAAGTTCCGACTGAAAATGATTCAATGCCGAATATAAATCTGATTTAATCAGCGTCATCAATTAACGAGTAATGAGTTTTTATTCGCAATTTGCTTTTTAATAAATTCTATTTATCTTTAATTATCTCTGTAATTAAAAAAGAAAATACGCGTGTTGATATAAAAGGAGAAAAAAATTCGCGACGCAGAGACCGGCGATAATTTTTGTTTTCATTACATCGAAGAAGCTGATTACTCAACCGTTTCTTTTACAATTTTGTTCTGTTTTTTGGAACAACTAAGCATACACGCGCGCATTACACGCGCGCCTTTTTTCTGTTCTTTTCTTTTGTATCTGTTTAAACACTTTAAACTTGTCAAACAGCTGTCAAAATAAAGCTATCAAAATAAATACAAACTGTCAAACGCAATCATCTCTATAATAACCGATTGATAATAAATAAAAGTGTCAATGCGAACTTTCTCGATAGACAAACCGATCGATAACCATCGCGATGACAACGAAAAGAGGTTTCAAAAGTAAATAACATGCCTTTTTTAAGGTAAGATTTTATTCTTCGTACTGCCGGATTCTCCACGTATGAGCTCGATTGGTAATGATTTCTCGATTTATTGGCCTTCGGAATCGTTGGGAGGAATCACGTGGGATGAAAGTCGGGTGAGCCGCGCGCATGCGAGTAATTTAGATGAAATCGCCGATTGCGACGACGACGGGCTCAATTCTTCTGGAACCACCTTCTGGTGATCGTTAGCCGGAGAAACATTGATAGTAGTCTACGCAAGAGCGCAGAAGTCACTGAAATGGGCACTCACGCGATCGATCTTGCATTCGATGTAAGTTCCCTCGCGACTAATAATAAAGTCTTGTAGCGACCGTGAGAAAACGATCGGCTAATGGCAATTATACGAAACTGTTACTTTCTTGATTATTTTACTTTATTTTAAAGGCTTTTAAAATTTTATCAAATCGATACAAAAGAAGCCGCGTTAGCTCCTTTTTTGGTATTTAATTTATTTATATTAATAGTTCAAGATAATCAAGAAAAGAAATGAGAGAAAATAAAGCGTAAGAAAAGTTTCGTCAGAAAATTAAGTGGAAACACGTGTCATGCCGTTTCGATTCCGACGCCCAACGGTGCAAGGAGAAAAATCGGTTTTGTGTCCGACAGAGAAAGTTACTATTCTGCGCCAACCACAAAATTGCCGCACCGCTTTGACCGTGATATTAGACAGCTCTGTTTAAAATGCCATAAGATTGTCGTGAGACGATGCTAACATGCGGAGCGGGCCGTTGCTTAGGAACGTAATTCATATTTTGCAATTAATCAATGTTCAACGGACGGATGTTAAAATCACTAATAATTAGAAAGACGAATTTTTTAAATATTAAAACATTATGTTATACTTCTAATAATTCGAATGATGTATTTCAGACTATAAAATGTCGATAAATGGTCAAGGAAACGTCCGGCAAAGTTGACGAAAGCCTATTCGAAAGCGAAACAGATACAGACTCTTAGAGGAAGACAAACATCAATCAAGAAGAAACCGAGGAAACGCACACGCTTGTCATCGATAAAGTAATCCGAGCGAGAGGCTAGAGATACACAATGGATCCTTATTCATTAAGGTGAGTAATCGATAAATCTACCGGTGATCGTGTCAACGAAGTAGTACACAAAAAGTTACGACTACAACAAGCGGTGAAAAAAAAAGCAAAGCTATTTTTCGTATACGTCTAACATATGAATCGAGAGTCACGTTTTCGGTTATTTTGTGATTAACATAGGCATGTTCGAGGAGATTTGAACAACACGTACTTCCTGTTTTAAAGACCGTTATTTATTGTTTAGGCAAGAATTTTATCTGACAATAAATATGAGAAAGTTCTTCGAATTTCGGTACAATGGATAAGAAAATATTTTCGTTTGAATTATCTAAAAAATGGTTCCAATAAACAAATAACTATAATCCATTTTCACGATAACAAAAGCCTTTTAGGCCAGAGTTTCTTTTGTCTTTTTATTGAGAGGTCTTTTACCTGCTCAGCTAGTCGATTGGAGGGAAAGTCGAAGGATCTGGCAGTTTGCTTATCCTTTTTTTTTGTACTTTTCAACAGATAAACCTTAACATATTTGCAACATAAGTTTTTTCTTTCTACGCGGTTCTTCAAAAGCTTTGTGAAATTTTGTGTGAAAATTTTCTCTTTTCTCGTCGTAAATCCATTTAAATTCCCATCTCAGAATACAATAGAATGCAGGTACATTTTTCTGACAATATTATAATTGCCTGAAGATTTCACACAGATAGATGTCTTAAAAACGTAGACGAACAACTTCACGCCCCGCGGCTACTTAAAATAGAAAGACTTACTTACCCAAGGAACCAGTTTCGCCGACGTGAAGCTGAAGTATCTCGATCTGATGAAGATACGACGCCTCTAATTGTAGTTCGATTCCGGCACGCTCTTTGTAACCGCATCCTGAAACAATTCACGGATATGTTACGAGTATTTTACTATTACTAGAAAACTGTTGAAAGAGCTTTTGTCTCGACGAAAATTACTGCACGTTATCAGAAATACGATATGCAAACAATAAGATAATTTGCAGTTATCTATCTTTACTCTGATGACATCATTGTTGATGCAGCGATGACTTCCTTAAATTTCAAAGTAGGAATAATCTTGGATCGCGAATACTGATAACTTTAGACAATTCCGGATAGCGATAGAGATCCAACGGCCGAACTGCGTACAAATATTGAAGTATTCGAGAGATAATGCTTTCCAATTATCGCGGCAACAAGTTTTTGAGGTCGCGTTCGAAAGGAGGGCTCGGATACTTGATCGTGCGATCGCTCGTCGATTAGCCTTTGACTTCGTCAAGTTATACGTGACGTTAGTTCCATGCGACAAATTGTCTCTCGAATGTCGTAACGACGCATCGGCGGAACTGCACGCGAGATATTTCCCCGGACATTTTTTCCCGTCAGAAGCACACCCACGCGTTTCTGCGTTCTTTCCTCTTTTCGGCGACGCCGATGAAAAAGCGATCGCGACGAAGAGAAATAATCATCCCGGGATCGAGAATCCTAATATTTACACGCTTATCCTTGAAAAAAAATATTGCCGCAAATATTTTTGCCGCGTTGAAAGAATGCCGAGCGTTCGTGACATAAAATCACTTTCGATGATATAAGTCCGCGTGCCTGTTACACAGCACATCGATTATCCTGAATCAAAATAAAGAGAAGTTGCGCTGCGAAATATTTTCGTCCTTGTTACATCACGAAAAATCATCAAGTTTTCAAATTGACGATTTATTCTTTTTTCAAAAAAAATTTTTTTTTACATATCGAGTCATTGCATTCAGTTGAATTGATAAATATAATAATAGAGCACGCAACAAAATGATATAAATAAAAAAAATAACTTTAATTTTTTTTGTAAGATTTGACATAATTCGATAATTTTATCGCAATGCAAAAATGAGGGAACTTTTGCTGGCAATTTTACATCGAATGTTTATCGCCTTCGCCGATATTATAATATGTTTTAAATTTTTATCGTGCACGATATTGTAGTCGATGACATCTCATGTTACATTCGTTATCATCAGTTACATTCGTAGAATCATTCGAGAATACGAAAGTATCTATTATACATATTATTCTTTCGTGCCTCTGCGCATTCTACGCAGATTCCTTCAATATTTATCGGGAAAAAAAATATATGATCGGAGAAACATCGGAATATATCGGTAAGATTTATCGGTAAGATTTCTCCGCCCGCTACTGTCGCGCTAATATCACGCTTTGTTGAATCAGGGCCAAGGTTAAAACGCCGCCAGAGTGGTTACGCCAGATCGCATAACGCGGCTATTTTTAGCAATGCTGTTTTAGGACGATCTCGCGAAAAATCCTTCGACCGGCAGTAATTTAACCGCGATTTACTATTCGCAAGTGCACGGGATTAATAGTAAACGCGTCGGTGTCAAGGGTCATCGATAAAAGAAAAACGATCGATACGCGTCGCCTGTCGTAGCGGAGTTGAACGGCCAAGAGCGAGCCGCATTGTGTGATTAGTCTCGCGAGTACAGCACAGTCAGGTATGGCAATTAAGCCTCCCCGGCGACGCGCGATAACGTGAAATTACTCCCCGCCTATCATTCGCGCGAAATGTCAAAGTTCTTGCCGAAGTTCGAGCGCGCGTTTCGCAGCGTATAATAAATATATGAACGTTGAAGAAGTAACGTAAAAAATTTAACAGTCGCAAGCCTGATGACAGACAGGCCTAGCGTAAAGTGACGACGAGTGACCGCGAATTGACTTGTTCATAGGTGAAATCGATTCTTCAAGCGGTGCGGGCAATTTACTTACATACGTTTGCCACGTGTCTCGCACATGCCGCGCTATTGTTCGCCTGAACTTACAATTAAGTAACAAATCGGCATGCGGCATGTGCACCGGTACTTATGCGAACAATAAGTCGGACATGGCCTTCTCTCGTGTTTTGAAAAATGTACCAGAAATGTGACAGTCGGGCATGACGTCATGCGTTACTGCGACTAGAATTCCAATGCATTGTGTTCGTGAGAAACGCATGATTCAGCAAAATGTAAATCTGCCCTGCAGACTTAACGTCGCCCGAAGCTTTCTGAATAGCACGAATATAGACTTTAGGAGCTTCGATTTAATTTGCGATCTCGAAAGCTCTACACTGTGTGATGTGTGCCTTTCGCATGACGTTCGAGGAAGTTACGAGCGCGCGATTTTACCGTGAGCGAAAATAAACTCGCGACGGAAAGGAAAATGACGAGTTTCGAAGTCGGACGATGATCGACACGTAAGGGAAAAAAAAATAAGTGTACTTCGAAAGTCATCGTGTTCCCTGACGTAATCGCGCGGCGATTGCGAACGCGATGATCGGACGAAGAGACAGTCATCGTCGTGTCTGCGGATTTCATAATATAATATAATCGCGATGATAATTTTATTCCCGTCGCGAGAAAAAAAAAAATAAGTGAAAGAGATGACCGTGAAGATACAATATACGGATATAATTCCGAGTAGAAGCCCAGTGTTTCTTACGCCCGAGTCAGCTGTAAACACTTTGTCGCAAAGCAAGCATTGCACAATTGTCGTCTACGCCACGCTTGTGACATAAGCGACACCGGAAGAGTAATTGTTCGAAGCCGTATGTGGATTAAATCAGAGTGTGCGGGAAATTGCAGACTTTATTTCACGAATAATTGCCGTAATTGCACAGCGCGATAGTCTAATGTAATAATTGATCGAATTGTTCAGCGTAATATGTAACAGTTTAGTTTCACAAGAAGATGCACACGATAACAGCGCATCTCACAATCAGAAGAATAATAGCGACAAGTTACAAATAGATTCGTTAAACTGCTTAATTCACTTGCCCCGCGGTTCGTTAAAGTTGTTGTGAGAAATCGGATTCGACGGTCGCCCGCTTAACAATACGTCAATTAACGCGCGTTAATTTATCAAGCGCATAATTGCATCTGACCAAGACCGAGGATTTATTTTTAGAGAATAGATACTCGTCCGAGAACATTTTAACCGCCTCGTTACATCGCGTTAATTGCTTGTTAGTTCGTGCTGCGTATATAAAAAAAAATACAACATCGACAGAGGAGCTCGAATTTACGGCATGCGTTGCAGAAAAATTGGTTTAAATAACCAAATTAAAATAGATTGAAATCACGAATCGTGAGATATTTTTTACGTTTATAGCGAAATAATTTTTTCACGAGACTGTCGATTAAGCCGCAAAAGATGTGTAATGACGAATGGAAATGTTTTTTATTTTTTCGCGTAGCTTCCTAAAAAATTCGTCAATTTGAATGGTATCGATTCTGATAAATCGGCACGTACGGTAAATGAATTTTGATGCGACACACTCGATAACCGATCCGCAGTGCGATATCGTGCGGATATTGTTACGAGAGACAATCGCCTGGAAACTATCGTTTTGACATCGCTCGCGTTTGGCAGGCACAGCTTACGTTTCTTGTGCGATAAATCTATTGATTAAAACTATCAATTCTCCGAACTGATACTCGGATATGCAATGTGAAATAATTGCAATAATAAAAAAAAAATATTCGATATAAAAGAATTAAATACTGAACAAAAGTCAATCAATCTACAACGAAAGTTATTTCATTAAAACGCGTTTTATATCGCAAAAATATTTTTTAAATTAATTTCGGTAAAAATAGTTAGAAAAAATTGTGTAAATCATAAAGAAATAAATTGATCAACGAGAAAATTCTATCGCAGACAAATGTCTCAGCATTATTACGACATTTATATACGGAAGTGCATCTAAAAAGGTTAAAGCTATTGAGAAGATGTTAGATTCACTATTAAATTGCTAGGCCCAAATTCCGAAGGAACCAGTTTTTGTGATTCATATAATGGGTGTTCCATATATATATATATATATATATATATATACACAGCTTCGTGCTTGAAGAGAATTCACGAAAGAAACCAGAATTCGACATATAAACACATTTCTACTTAATGTAATCGTTTGTTTCAGAAAATTACGTGACTTTTTCGAACGTCAAGCTGCGAGTGAAGAGATCTATAAATACACTCTGCTTGTAATCATGCACCGAGCTAGACGTTATTATCGTGGCTTGCTAGAGTCAGTTGTTAAAAAGTCGGTCGAAAAGTTGTTGTCGATCGAAAGCAGTAAATGTGCGCGTACCGATGATATATTGTTAAATGAAATTATAATCTAAAAATATTTTGTATAATATTATGATATCTGTCTGCGATAAAAGATATCAAGTAAAAAGTATTAAATTATCACGTAATATTATTATAATAAGAAATGTTCAAATATTATCTTGCAATGTTACTACAGAACGTACGATAACGCGACTCAATTTATCAAACATAAACGGAAATTCAATTTGGAGATTCCGCGCGGTTATCGTGTTCCGACATATGAGACTCGTGCGAGATGACAACGACGATCGACGATCGCGATAAATATTTATGAACTACAACGACGGTGCGAATATATGAAACACCGTGCGACAACATGGAGAGATGATACTTCGCGTCGTCACTTTAATGGCACGTAGAAATGTCGAACGCGTGTGACAAACGGTCGTCGTGAATTGCAATAGAAAGGAAAAAAAGGGCGCGATTTGCAAGCGCAAAAGGCGACGATAAAATTCACGTCGGCACGGGGCGATGTTAACGACTGTTCTTTCTCGTCTAGTTTATTGGCAATCGATGACGCCAGTGATTGTGTTTCAGCGTGGAGCGGGAAGCTTCGAAGAACATCGAAGAGAATGAGCGTACGCGTTTTAAAGAGGCGATTGTTTCGAGTCGCAGTCTCAACAGAGTTCAGCCCAATCAGATTAAAAATGCCCTTCGAGAAGTAAGTATCAATTACCTCACAAAAGACAGTTTCTTTTATCCGGACGAATATATATTGACACGAGTGATGTTTAATGAAGAAAAACGCTCTTAAGAGCGCGATCTTTTAGCATTAAAAAAAAAAAAAAAAAAAAAAAAAAAAGA